GCTTAATACAACACTGAAAGTCTGACCGTAAGCACTGTGATACTTTGGAGTGTAATCTGAAATGACTTGAGAAGCTGTTCTTTGTGAAAGAGCAGTGCCTCCCACCTCCACATGGTGTCATCAGTAAACAGCAGAGTATAAGCTATAGGCTGCAGCACTGTTCCTGCACTGTGGACAGTTCGCTTGGTTTTGATGTAAAACTTAAGTATTTGTGTTTTTATGATTGTGCTGAAAACTTCACTTCAAAATAAAGGATAAAGGATCAGTGAAACTTTGTCATTGTGAGTCTTCTTCCAGACTGGAACTGTATACATCTCCAGTATCCCTATGGGCAGTTTGGTTAGTGTTTGTAAACACTTTGTTTTTTGCATGCTACTACTAAGTTGAGTCCTAAATTAAAATTAAAGAATAAATGAAAGTTTGTCTTTGCAGTTTTTTTTAGTTTTTTTTCTCATAAAGTAACAATTTGTGCCACTTAAATAAACGGTAAAGAAACTGCTGGTTTTCCAAAGGAACACCAGAGAGCCCTGCTAAACAGATCACATCCTGTGATGTGCAGATTGGTTGCTATATTAAGTTAGCATCAGTTCAAAGCTCTTGGTCATGCTCGTGCTTTGCTGCTTAGTTAGAGCTGGGTCATGATGCCAGCACTCCTGTAAATTTACAGTGTACAGAATTAAAAACTTCAATACCGATCACTTCCTGAATAACAATATTCTTTGCAAGGAGCAAGTGTTCCTTGAAAGAGTAGTTGTCAAACAGCTAACAGATCATCTGCAGAGGAATGGCTTATTTGAAGAGTTTCAGTCAGGTTTCAGAGCTCATCACAGCACAGAAACAGTTTTAGTGAAGGTTACAAATGATCTTCTTATGGCCTCTGACAGTGGACTCATCTCTGTGCTTGTCCTGTTAGACCTTAGTGCAGCATTCAATACTGTTGAACATAATATTCTATTAGCACGATTAGAGCACGTTGTGGGTATCTCAGGTACTGTGCTGCAGTGGTTTGTATCATATCTAATTAATAGACTCCAATTTGTGCATGTAAATGGAGAGTCCTCTTCACACACTACGGTCAGTTATGGAGTTCCACAGGGTTCAGTGCTAGGAACCCTGTGGAAGCATGTTTACATTATACATGCTTCCCTTAGGCAGCATCATTAGAAGACATAGCATACATTTTCACTACTATGCAGATGACATAGATCTGTCTATGAAGCCAGATAACACACACCAATGAGTTAAACTGCAGGAATGTCTTAAAGACATAAAGACCTGGATGGCCGCTAACTTTCTGCTTCTTAATTCAGATAAAACTGAAATTATTGTACTCGGCCCTGAAAATCTTAGAAATATGGTATCTAACCAGATTCTTACTCTGGATGGCATTACCTTGGCCTCCAGTAACACTGTAGGAACCTTGGAGTCATTTTTGACCAGGACATGTCCTTCAATGCACATATTAAACAAATATGTAAGACTGCTTTCTTCCATTTTCGCAACATCTCTAAAATTAGACATATCCTGTAACAGAGTGATGCTGAAAAACTAGTTCATGCATTTTTTTTACTTCCAGGCTGGACGACTGCAATTCATTATTATCAGGATGTCCTAAAACCTCCCTTAAAAGCCTCCAGTTAATCCAAAATGCTGCAGCAAGAGTCCTGACAGGGACTAGAAAGAGAGAGCATATTTCTCCTGTTTTGGCTTCCCTTCATTGGCTTCCTGTTAAATCCAGAATGAATTCAAAATCCTGCTCCTCACATACAAGGTCTTAAATAATCAGGCCCCATCTTATCTCAATGACCTTGTAGTACCAGATCACCCTATTAGAGCACTTCGCTCTCGCTCTGCAGGCCTACTTGTTGTTCCTAGAGTATTTAAAAGTAGGCAGAGCCTTCAGTTTTCAGGCCCCTCTTCTGTGGAACCAGCTTCCAGTTTGGATTCAGGAGACAGACACTATCTCTACTTTTAAGATTAGGCTTAAAACTTTCCTTTTTGCTAAAGCATATAGTTAGGGCTGGACCAGGTGACCCTGAATCCTCCCTTAGTTATGCTGCAATAGACGTAGGCTGCCGGGGGATTCCCATGATGCATTGAGTTTTTCCTTTCCAGTCACCTTTCTCACTCACTATGTGTTAATAGACCTCTCTGCATTGAATCGTACTTGTTATTAATCTCTGTCTCTCTTCCACAGCATGTCTTTATCCTGTTTTCCTTCTCTCACCCTAACTGGTCAAAGCAGATGGCCCCGCCCCTCCCTGAACCTGGTTCTGCTGAGTTTTTCCTTCCCAATGTCGCCAAAGTGCTTGCTCATAAGGGGTCATATGATTGATAGGTTTTTCTCTGTATGTATTATTGTACGATCTACTGAGCAATATAAAGCGGTTTGAGGCGACTGTTGTTGTGATTTGGCGCTATATAAATAACTGCAATTGAACTGAATTGAATTGAAAAGTGGGCCAAGTAGATATAAACTTAAATGTGTTAAAAAGAGCCATGGCCTCCTTTACTTTCTAAAGAATTAATGGCAGTTTCTTTGTTTCCCACTAGAGTGTGCAACTATCCAAGCCACCACAATACGAACGCCTGAACTCAAGCTCTTTTGATTTTCATTGACTAAACTGTCAGAAAGGTTCTGATAAGAAGCTTCAAAGACACACTGCACTTACTTACAGCTTATTGCTTGTGTCTGAGACAAAGAGAGGTCAGCCCTGCTGTTTTTCATTCCACACATCTAATCACTTTGATTTACTGGATGCATTCAGAGACAATTGGTCTCTTGAGTGCAGCTATGTAAAAGCTCACCCCCCCAGCCCCACCCGTCTGTGTGGAAGCAGACACCCATACTGGGAGCAGCAGCAGTGAAAATTTATGAAGTAAATGAGAATACAATAGTTGAGTATAAAAGTAGAAAGGCTCTCTGTCTTCTAAAGCCAAATTGGGAGCTGGTTCCACAGGAGAGGGACCTGATAGCTGAGGGGTCTGCCTCCCATTCTACTCTTGGGTATCTGTTTTTTTTTTTTCTATAGTATAGTATAGTAATAATGTTGGCAAAGAGAAGCATGCATGATGTAAAGAGGTTCGATCAGTCCTACCATAGAGCCCTGCAGATCCCCATAAACAACCAGGAATCTGTCAGGTAGTATGAGTGCTTTATGATACTTTAAAATCACTGCAATTGTTTTGTGTACTTTGTGTACTTTTAGTTGGTATGGCACCTGGTATGGCAACAGCACCGCCTACAACTGCAAAGCTCTCCAGCGAGTAGTGCGGTGCTCTGAACGGATAATTGGAGGTGAGCTTCCCTCCCTCCAAGACATCTACAGGAAGCGGTGCCTGAGGAAAGCGGGGAGGATCATCAAGGACTCCAGTCACCCCAGCCATAAACTGTTCAGACTGCTTCCATCAGGAAGGAGGTTCTGCAGCATCCGGTCCCGTACCAGCAGACTGAGAGACAGCTTTTTCCATCAGGCCATCAGACTGCTGAACACGTCATAGACACCTCACCTTCACTTACCAGAACTTCAACATTATGCACTCCACACTGTATATAAATGCCACTTGTTTTGCACATATTCAACTCTGTATATTTTATATATTTTATTATTATTATTATTATTATTATTTTATTTTATTTTTTTACTATTTAATTTGTAAAAATGTGTATACACACACACACACACACACACACACACACACACACACACACGTAGGAAAATATTTAGTATACACATCCAGAAATGCATACACTATTATATATTGTACATATATTTATTAGTTTCAGGTTGGCCATTCTTGTATTTTGCTCGTTTGTGTTGTTGTGTTTGCACATCTCTGTTGCTTGTGGGGCTCGCACACAAGAATTTCACTCGCATGTGCTGTACCAGTGTGCCTGCACATGTGATGTGACAATAAAAAGTGATTTGATTTGATTTGTGATTTGATTAGTTACTGACTTTGACAAAATGTAACAGTCACACTATTGTACGGGGGCCCCACTGACCTGCAGCCCCCTTTGTTTGTGTGCCATTGGCCCCTTTCGTAATCTATTCATGAGTGCAGCTAAAAATCAAGTAGGGGTGAGCACATGGAAAAATTCCTGTTTGTTATGACATTCACCACAAGACCATTAGCACTGTATAATCAAAATGAGAGTTATCCACAAGAATGATGTTACTGAATAAAAATTTAAAAGATTTATTGATTGCTGCTTGCAATTACTAACTCATAAGCCTGTGGTGGTTCTAAGTACACTTTGTTTCACAGTTTCTCTCACTTCTTTTTGTTGTTTTCTGGTGCTTGGTTAGTGTCCAGGGTTTGTGAAGAAAGCAAATTTTTGCCTCCAGCACATGAAGGCCCCACAAACACAATTAGAGGCCCATCATATTTGTGTTTGGCCAATAGGAAGGCGGATCTGGATTTCTTGCGGGAGGGTCAAGTTATGAAGACACTGCTAGCGGGATACCGGAAGTTTCGCACCTAACCGTATCAGTTGTCAAAATGATGCTGTAGGAAGGTTGATTCAGACAAATAGGGAAAGAATAAAATTAAATAAGATTACCGAACTTTGGTACAGCATTCATCAGCACACATCTGATAGGCAGAATCTGTGGTTCATTTTAAATGACTGCTAAAAACTATTTTCTATAGGTTAGCGTTTCTTCATAGTTTTGCCCATTATTTATGCCCTTTTGTTCTTTCTACATGTGTGTATAGGCGTCTGTATACAAGAATAAATGAAAAACCCTGTGCTTGACTCTGTGTTTAGATGTATAATTATGTACGCTTATTTGTTGTGTTTTTATCTGTGACAGTGCTAGTGATGTTCAAATAATGCTTGTCTTTTTATTGTTGATATAGTTGTTAAAAAGTATCTAAACTAACAAGCCGATTAGCGGATACTTTTTTTAAATAAAATCCAAAAACACACGAGCGCCATACACGGTATAGGCGCGCTCCTCGTCTTATTCTGAAATTCCCAACCGGATGTGGCCTTGCATAAATCCCGTTGGTGTTCCGCCTGTGGAAAAGCGACCGTTGGAGCGTTTTCGCTTCACCGTGCTCCCATCCGTTGTGTCCGTCAGCGGCCATATCTACTGTAACCGCATTCATTCATTTTTAGACGCACTGCTATTTTTTTCTTGAACCAAAAGACGGCTATTTAGTGAGAAGGCCGTGAGCATCTCGTTGTTTCGTTACCCTCTCGGACGTTTGTCGGTTTATGCCTCGGTGAGTGTCCGTTGAAGGCTGGGTGGTAACAGTTCGGCTTCACGATGATCGAGCGACCAGAAACCGCGGTTCCCAGCATCGCTGTAAGTACACCACTCTTCACAACACGTCTGTGGCTTTTTCCGCCAAATAAACTTATTATAATAAACTCCTCAACCGTTACCGTGGGTTTCTGGCTCCGCTGGTATTGACTTGGAGGATTGCAGACCAGGCTCCGTTAAAAAAATGTTCCGTTTTAGGGTGGTTCGGATTTTTACAAATACCAGCCTTTGACTAAGACGTAATTTTCATCTCCTGCGATATGAATATAATGTGGTGAACACTCCGGCGTTAAATTTGATTGACCCTATAATAAGTACTTCACTATATGGCATCATTTTAAAGCGAATCACGCCTCATTCCTCCTGTGTAGCCTCGTTTTATAAATGAAGCGATGTTTGAATGACGAACAATGACTTTAATTTGTTTTAATATGTGGAGGTGGATTCTGTGTCAATTTACCTTTTGGACAGCGCAATTATGGTGTTGCTTATAAAATGTCACTGTTTTGAACAGAGCCTGGCTTGAGAGCTCCCATAACAGAGCAGCACGTATCGGGGGGTACGTGGTCTGGTGTCAATTATCGCTGTGTGCACAAAGAGATGGGCTTAGTGGGGTTTCTTTTAGGAGTATTTACACAGAGTTACTTGTCTAATTTTTAAACGCTGCGACTGTGAGACTCAGATCGGTTTGCTTTTCCATGCTAGAGTCCCTTAAAGAAATATCACTTTTTAATATTCTTAACAACAGCTTTGGCACAGTGGCCCTGACCCTCGGGTCAGTGGGGCTGTGGCCCTTTCAGTCCTCTTTATTTGCATGTTGTTGGCTTTGTTCAGGGCATTTTAAACTGACACTTAGATTTAGCAATGAGTCCCTGCTCACCACACAACACAGCACACATTGTATTTCTGCCGCATCTGTTTCTGTAATCCAGTACGAGGTGATTGGCAGTGACTCCCCCAGGCATAAAAGTGTGCACGGTGCTAAAAAATAATCAAAGAAAACATACATTCACTGTGCTCATATGATTCAACGTTTAAGCGATGCATTATTTAGCACACAATGCATTAATATTGAAGTTGAAAACAGCTGAGGAGGCAGTGAGAGGGCCACAGCATCAGCTGCTGCATGCATGAGGGGGTGGACTTGGCATCACAGATGATGTCAGTGAACCAAGCAGCTACTATCACCACTGGGTTAGACTGGGGGATGGGGTAGTATGAATGGTATGGACTGACTAGCCTTCCTCTCTCATCCCCCATTACTTCCTTCTTTACAGTCCCTTGCCTGTTGCTCAGTTAGTCACTTTCTCGTCAGAAATAGCCACACTGCAGCTGTTACACCAATGTGAATATTATGCGGAAATGTGATGTATGATAGTGCATGCATACTATTTTATTCATGTAGTGTCCCATCTGATCCACAGACTCTCCGCTAACCACCCACTCACACTTTTTTTGTGAGCTAAATGCTGACTGGTTTTCACTAATACATGCTTCCATATAGTTAAAGATCCACTGCAGTGTGCTGTGTGAGCTACATGGAAACAGATCAACCATCATAGGTGGTATCTTATGTAACCAGTGGCAGATTTGGGTGTGGGCAGCAGCTGGAACTTACTCTCATCTGGCAGGCAGCCACACACTTTGGCAGCAGCCCTGTTATGCTTCATTCAAGCAAGGTAATAACAGAGATACACTTACCCAACTTTTTTACTTGTCTGATGCAGTAGAGATGCCTTGGTTTTGGGTATGAGCTGATACTGAGTTCTAATTCAGAGCTAGTGTTAAATTAGTGAGCTGTATACCTCACCACGAGGGAACATTGTTTTCCTATCTTTGTAAAAATAAAATGAACCGAAGACATCCAAGAATATAAATTTACTGAATGTGGATTTATTATAACTAATAAATAAACTAAAATCAGAATCACCTGTTTTTCCTGCATTTGTTTAATTTTAGCACAGCGTGAGAATCTTTATCTGTATACAGCTAATACTTATGGACATGCTAGGCTCTCCTTTCTCTATTCTCACTGTGAGTGCATCCCATCACACACAAACACATCAGGTGTGCAATGGAGCTCTAAGAGTCAGGTGATGTGAATTATTAAAAATCAAGTTGATCTCATTATGTTACTGTAAGTGTGATTAAAGTTTGCTAGCAAATGTTTCTGCTGGTTTACACTTCAGAGTGAAATCTTCCACTTAACTGAGGAACCTTCTTAAACAGTTGCCATAGCCTGACGTACCTCCCTGGAAGAAGAAATAATAATTATAGCGTCAGCAGGAGTACTCGCATATGTCTGGAGGTAGGTTACTGAAACTATCCCTAATGGATGTGAGGGAGCATACTGTGAAGTGCCCCCAGGGGAAAAAGAAAAATGGCTACAAGAGTGGGGACCCTGGAGGGGGAAGTCCCAGCATTTTATTTGTTTCTGTCTGCTGGCAACGTAAATAAAACATCGGGACACAACTACACAGTACTTAACACATGATGCATCAGCATAAATGCCGGCAATGACGTTGGCCACTTATGTAGGTTACGTTGTAGGATCTAGATTCTAAATCAGACCATAGACTGAACATAACCACAGTGATGAAGTGGAATAGAGGGTGAAGGCTAGGGCTGGGCTATATCATACCGTTCGCGGTAATAGTAATAGTAATTTTGGGCAACGATAGGAAAATGAAATATCGCGATAGAATATGGGTAAAACACGCATGCGTAGTGCCTTTGTTTACATACGCACATGGCGGCCACGCAGAATGAGAAGGGCGAAAGTGGATCGTTAAATGAAACTGATGAACCAGAATTGGTTTGTAAAAATGCTGCAACTTCAGTGGTGTGGAACTGGTTTGGCTCTCGTCCGTCAGATACACAACAAAGCACTATTTTTCGTAGCGCATGCTAGCAGGCCGTCGTTTTTACCGTGTTGTTTGGAAAGTACGGCACACTTAAAATCAATCCTTTGATTTTTCTGAAACTTGACAGTGCCCTTATAATCCCGTGTGCCTTATGTATGAACTCTGGTTGTGTTTACTGACCTCGAAACGATTTTATGTACATGGCGCTCGAAAATCTCAAATGTTTTACTGCGACTTTGCTAAGCTACGAAGCCGCACCGCTTGATGGATTGTCGGAGCATTACGGCTATCGTAGGCAGGAGCCTCGCGGAGTGATACGTACTGTGCTTCAACATAATGTTACCGTATTGTGTGTGTATAACCTCTTAAGTTTTGTGGATATTATACATGGTTATGCTGAGGATATGTCGGCCAATTTCCACTGGAAATGCCTTTTGGTTAAACTGTTAGCAAGGAATTTGCACTGTTACATTTTTATATAAGTTTAATGCACATAAAAAAACAGCTGCTTGTTTAAGTGAAAATACATTGATGGGGTTTTTTGCACTAATAAAGTTGTGGAGTTGTAAAGTATTTTGTCTCGTGTCAATTATATTGTCAGTTATATCGTTATTGCAAATTTTCAAATGTATATCGTGATAAATATTTTTGGTCATATCGCCCTGCCCTAGTGAAGGCAGTCTGACCCTTTCAATCAGCTTGCTTGACTACACTTTGTTGTTCATGTGAGTTAATAAGAAAAGCTACACAAAACTACAGGCCTTTTACTCTCAAGTTCCTCCATGCTGCGTTGTCCCTCCTGCTAACAGCAGGTACACTTAAGCATGGCATACTAAAAAGAGATAAATATAAGATCAAACATGAAAGATTGTAAAATATGGACACAAATCTCCTTATGAAGCTTCCTGGTTCTGAAACCAGATGTGATGAGTGAGGGGTGAATTCTTTTTTTCAGAGGTCAGAGGCTGTATAGACTTTTATAGGACCAGAAGTGTTTTTGCAAAAACGGATATGACTGTTAGGTGTCACCTCTGTTAAGCTGTCCACTGTTTCTGCTATTGGTGTTTTGAGTTTGCTTTTCTTTCTAATTATGTGACAAACATGGCTTTCTGTGAGGAACAGACACTCCAAGAAGTTTGTGCTTCACTTCTCCCAAAGTTAAAATGGTAGTATTTAGTGTAATTAGTCTGTTAGTGCTAATTAACAAGTATGGATGTAAGTGCTTTTCATCCATGCAGTTTATAGATGTAGCTTGCTAATATTAGCTTCAGAATATGTATTCCAGAACCGGCTGCTGACATCCTCGTAATAACATCCATCTTTCATAAACAGTGTATACACGGTTTATATACGTCTATTCTTCTTTGTATTCTAAAGCAGCCCTTTTGAATTATGAACTGGAAGTGGATATTACTGGCTGCCCTCTTGTCACTGTAGCACAGAGTGATACCCTGGAGCACTTTGCACAGAGATATCCACTGTATATTTGGAGAACGAGAGAGTCAAACGAGTGGATTAAAGTACCACACTGATGTGTCTTTTGCTGTTGTCCTTCATCATTCCTTTCTTGCTTCTCTATATCTTTATATCGTCATGCTTGCATGAATTTGCACTCGTGGATGACTATAGCGCATGAGATCAGCGTTCCATGCTTCTTCTTTTTCACACAGCTTTACTCAGGCCATGTGGCTCAGATGTGTTTTTCTCTGTTTGGTGCTGTGAAGATCAATGCTGCGTATGTAACACACACTCTACTAGCGTCTGTGTGACTCAGGCATGGAAACACTGGAAAGTGCTTCAGGCAAGTTCAGAGTAGTTAAGCCTGCTGTCGACCTGTGTTCATCCCTAGTATTGATTATTTGCATAGATTGCTTCCTTTTTTTTTTCTTTTTTTTTCTTTTGCTGCTGTCTGTGAGCTGTTAATATCCACTGTTGATGGTGGTGTGTAACTTAGTTTTCTGAATATCACAGATCTAAGGCTTGTACCGTGTTAATATCAGGTTAGATCCGTGGCAGGAAGTTTCCCCGAGGAACAGGAACCTGATGTGTATAAAATATAAATAAAATATAAATGTAAAAATATAGCTACAGCCAGCATGTTGTATAGAACGCTTTGAGTACTCCGGGAGAGTAGAAGAGCACTATGTAAGAATCAGACCATTTATACTTACCATTAATACAATTTATTATAGTGTTTGTCCAGCATTTTAAAAACATGAAACTCCAGGCACATTGTTTTGCTTGTGGAATGGAGGCGTCCATTTTGTGACAAATCATCTAGCCTTTGCAGTGACTTAACATAAAACTTAACATAAAAGAGTTTAACATAAAACTGTTGCACTTCAAATATGTCATCAAATTAATTTTTGTAAATTTTCAAGGGTTTGTAAATTTAAGGGTTTGCAGCAGATAACTTAATACTCCAGAGGAGTTTTTCATAAATGGACACAAGCACTAAAAATGTTAGTAAATGTACTAAAAAAAGCTGAAATCAACATGGTATGAATCATTTGACTGCAGTCACAAAGAAGCTTTTTTTCCTGTACCATATCTAAATTTTGTCTCTAAATAATTTGGGACTGATGTAAGTTGAAATTTTTGTTTTAGCTCACAGATCTTCTGGCTGGGTTTGTGGCACTTTCTGGTTAATTGAGTGTTGTCGTTGGGTGGGTGGGCAATGTTTACACCTAAGTTTGTGAATGTGATTACTTGAGAAAGAAGGAATGAGCTTCAAATGTATACCATAGGTGTATGTACTAAAATTCTCGGACAAGTTTGAATCTCAGCGACCTCAAAGCCAGAGGTCAAGATTTCGGAAAATCCTGTGATTGCGATAACTCAAGAAGGAACTCACCTAGGATTTTGAAATCGATACAATAGGTGATTCTACTACAAACGCCCTTGCTGTTAAAACCTGTAGCTCAGGATTTGCAGCAAGTTGTTGTTTGAATCTTCTTCACATCTAATGTGGAAAAGAAGTAGATTGGATGGAACAACTCTTTCAATATATGACAGCTTGAATGTCAGAGTGCATGATATCACTGTAGATACTAAAGTTAGCAAATGTAATTATAATGGTGGTGTCTGGTTCTGGGTTGGAGGGGCTTAAAGAAGAGCGTCACTCTGAGGTCAACAGTTGATTCAAAAGTAGATGTGGCAGGAAATGGTTATCACTCTCTGTTTCAGTCTTTCTGAGGCGTTCTCTGCCTTTTACCAAGAGTCAGCTGGGACAGTTGACACTAGTTACTGACTAGTTAAGTCAAAAACAAGAAATTCAGGAGCAAAACATCTGAAATTGATCGAGTGGTTAAATTTCTGCAATAAAAATAGCTGTTTCCTACACTGGCAATGATGCAGTCCATTTTGAAAATTCAGTGGGCTAATTTTCCAAATGGTTCCAGAAAGAGAAACGCACAAATTTTGACACTTTTCTAAAAATGGTTAAAGTGTTTATGGAATGGAGAAAGGGCTGCTGACTTTAGCTGTGGGTGGTTTTTAACCCCCAGCAGACCTCTCAGTGCTGCACTTTCCATCAGTGCCACGCCTGGCAGCCTCAGAGGTCAGCAATCGATGTGTTTGGAGGGCGGGGTTTTATTTTGACAGCAGGCTGGGAGATACGGAGAGGTAGAGGGAGATCAGTGATCCAGCCTGCCTTCAGTACGACCGGTCTTTCATGCGGGACATGATGGACACTATTCACGTAGGACCTTCTTCCTTTGCTTGTCTTCATTCTCTTTGTTTGTGTGTTCTTGTGTTTATTGAGGAAATGATTGGCCTCGTGTATTGGTGTTTTCCACTTTCATTTTTCATGGACTTTGACAGAATTGACTCGACTTCCTCTTTCCATCGAAGAGAAAACCTGTTATTTCTCTTATAACAGTCTTTATGTATTGAACCCAGCTGTACTTCATCTCTTAGAGGCTCTGCCACTGTAGCACAGGAAAATTCTAGTAACAGGTTTACAAAAGCAAGATTTGTGTCACCTTGTGTGTCCAAATCCAGCTGTTTGTCTTAACAAGTGCATAAAGCTCCAGCTATTCTAAACATATATTTATTCTGATGCGTGTTTAAGAGTCTGAGTGTGTTATTGATTCATGCTGTTGATCTCTTTGACAGAATGTGTGTTTTTTGTTTCAGCAGCGGAACCTAGAGGGCTACGTGGGCTTTGCCAACCTCCCCAACCAGGTGTATCGGAAGTCTGTCAAAAGAGGGTTTGAGTTCACATTAATGGTTGTAGGTAAGTTGGAAACATCAACACCTTGACTGTAAGTGAGGACACTCATGTGCATGTTTGCTTCTATTGTGTGTACACCTGCCACTGCTGTGTGTTTTTCATTGCTGCATGCATGAGTCATCAGCACAGGTTCAAAGACAGTAAAACATGTGTGGCATCCCATACATGTCACATTCAGCTGCTCAGGATGAAGAGTTGACAGTTTAAAAGGCAGTTAAAGGCTTCGAGGTGTTGTTGTTTTGTTTTTTTTTGTTGTTTTTTTTGCCTGTCCCATTTGGTTCTTTAGCCATCAGAATTGTTGTCTGAAGACCAACAAGGATACCCAATGGATTTACTTTGCCAAATGAATCATCGTGGCATTGCCGTATTGGTCCATTTGGTCGATCTTTGTTTTTATTATTTCTTATATTTTATTTTCAGATGTTACAGACGGGACAGACATGAGTGAGGGATAGGAAAGGGAGAAAGAAAGAGGAAGGAAAGGAAAAACAGAAGGGAGAAGAGACAGTGAGAAGGGGGGGAGAAAAAAAATAAAAATCTCCTGGATCACCTGTTGAGAGAAGAATAGAAAACAAGCAAAAAAAACAAAGCAACATACTAAACACAACACCATCGCATTAATCTAGCTAAGTGTAAACAGCAGTAAATACTAAATATTCAATGTTGTTGTGCAGCACGCAGGACAGATGTGCTTCGAAGTAGCAGCCAAGAAAGGTGTAATTTGGGTCTACGAGCAGTGAACACCCGTGTGCACACCTGTGTGGATCAGCGCGCTTGTATTCCAAAGGTTTCTCCATGTAACGATCTGCTAGGGAGTGTGGGGGGGCCACAGCCCCGTCCTCCGGGGTGTGAAGCGGGTATGGAGGAGATCAAAACTCTAGACATCCAGAGGCCCCCAGAACACAAGAGACCATGGAAGACCAACAAAGGGGCAGCCGCGCCACTGTCCCAGTAAGAGCTGAGGAGAGTCCCAGATGAGGCTCACTCAGCAGCCGCGGAGCAGAAGCCAGGGGAGTTGCAGTGACGCGCCCATGAGCTCCGCCGGCCCCCAGCTGTGCCTGAGTGACCGAGCCCCAGGCCGAGAGGCCGGGGCACCCCACCTCCGAAGGGCCCAAGCGAGCCCCAGGCTCCAGGCCCCGATAAGCAGCCGCCAAGGAGTGAGCCGGTGTGTACCTGGATGCCCATCCCCAGACACAAAGAACCACCAACGCACCGACACCTGAGGGAGTCCGCCACTGGCAGGGGAAGTGGTGGTGGGTGGAGATAGGCCTCCAAACCTTGGAGGGCCTGAGATGTCCCCAGAGAGGTGGCGTCTGATACCCAACCTGACATATAGACACAGAAATACAGGCACACACAGACACAAACATCCATTCCCACCCTCATGCTCTCATATGCACTTACTCCACACTCAACCAACGTGGAGACAGACATAAAGAGACGCTGTACACACGATCACACTCCCCAAGCGTACTCTACAAACCGGGTCTAGGTACCCTTGCCCCTGGAGGGGGGAACTGCACCCAGACCCAGGTGGTGTTACCCCTTTCCCTGCGGTGGGGAGAGGCAGACCGCCCCGACTCCGTAGCAGCAGGGAGGCCCCACACCCCAGACCGCAGTCAGACGGCCATCTCCTCCTAGCCCTCCCGCTCCAGCAGGCCGCAGAGAACGGGGGTGGGAGAAGACTCCAAACCTCCCTCCACCCGCTCATTGTAGTGTTGATGCATGTGTGTTCTAAGGTGCAATTAAAACCCAGGAGGGCATGGAGCTACCTGCCAGAGAGCAGCAGGTAAGCGCATAGTTCCTCCTGCTAGCCCTCAGTGTCTACGTGTATTTAAAATTGAGAGGTGGGCAACGACGCCAGGGGTGAGGTGTACACCCTGATGGTAATTTGGACTCCGTGATTGTGCCCACCCCCAAGATCCTATATGTATGTGTAATGAGAGTGTGAATAATGTGAATGTCTAAGTTGTGGGATAAAATTGAGGCAGAGGCAGCCAGAGGGGGACAGAGGGGGGGGGGTAGCCTCCTCTGCACCCTGGTGACATACCCCTACTCCAAGGCCCTGCATGTGTGGGTGGTTGTGGTGGAGCGGGAAGAGGGAGGCAGCTGGAGATGGGGAGGGAAGGAAGGGAGGGGCAGGTAACCCCTCCCTGGGCCAGCTCCCCCGCTGACCCCAGTAGGCACTCCCATACTCCGCGACCCGCCAGGGAAAGGGCCCAGGCCCATCCAGACCGGGGCCCAGTGCAGCAGCGCCCCCCGGCCCCACAGAGCCCGGGACAGTCCACCCAACCCCACCACAGAGAAAACTGCACCCACCCCACCATCCACTCATCTTCCAGACTACATAAGACAGTAAACGCCCAGGCTGAGATCTTCCTCCACCTCTCCTGTATCTCCCCCTCCTGCAGAGAGAGTTCCTGAGGAGAGGAAAGCTCCTGCAAGATGTGGCTTCGAGGTGTTGTTCAGTGATGAAGAAAGTGTGTCTGTCACCTTAGTAAAAGATGGATTTCCACAGTTTCCCACAAGGGTTTTCTCACGTTCCTCTGGCCAGGACGCACAATGACACATCAGTGTGTTTTGGATGACTTCATTTGGAAAGTAAGCTGCAGGATGTCTGGTGAAAAATGTGGCTAACTGCATTACAGAGCAGGGGAAGTGGACAGGGGAGTGGTGGAACAATGGCTTGGATTGTCTATATAGATCTGAAGCAGAAGGTGGTCCACGGTTATTTTGATTGTAACAGATACGACTTTTGTTGTTGTTGTAAATATGTCCTCCATGTTTGTTCAGCTGTCACACATTTTGCTATGTATTTTTCACATAATGCTAAATATGTAAAAGGTCACTTTTTCACCAAGTTTTTTTTCACCAGCCAGTACAATCCTAACTCGGGCATATAATGGCACAACACAAAGATTCAGATTTGTTTCTACTGTAATAGCCGTGTGTCTAGTTTGCCGGCTACTATAACTTAGCTACACATCTGTCTGGCTGTAGGTGTTTTGTTGCTGATTCTTTTCTATCTTTATACTGATTCTCAGATACAATATACTGTGTATATACAGCAACAGGACACTAGAATATAATAACGTGCAACAGCACAACAACAGTGCAGAATAATCATGTTTCTCATCACTGCCAGTCTTCAAAAAAACATCCACATGCCTTATCTGTGTGCTTCAGTTTCTCTTGTTTTGCATACTTCTTTGTCAGGAGTGTTAGTTTGTCTCTCTGCGTTCTCCAGCTTTATTACCCCATCTCTAACCCTAAAGTAAATAATACCATCTGACGTTAGTGCTTAGCTCTGTGTAGCCAAACTTCCTTATTTGGCCACAACAGGGAAATGAAACTTACAATATGAGTCGATCTTAAAGGAAAAATTCCAAAATTTTGGGAAACGCTCTTAGTGGCTTCCTGAAAAGGAATCGTCTTTAGCAGACTGAAGAATGGACTCATTTCTAACTCATAGTAACTAAAAGCAAGTCAATATTGGTAACCAATCGCTGTTGCTCTGTTTTGCTACTGATTTGACTTTTGGGGAAAAATATTTCTTGTTGTGCTTTAGAAATATTCTTTGTTTTTGTCTTAAACTGAACAACTTTTAAAATGTTTTAAGAGGTCATAAATCTAACTCTGTAGCCTGTGGTGACCCCGAGCTGTTCAGTGAATGGAGAGAGACATTAACGCAAAGAGGCGTCCACTCATTATTGTCTCAGTCTGGGGGTTTTAGTTTCCTGTTTAGTAAACAGCCACTGTGGAGGAGCAGTCGAGTGACAGTTTGGGAGAGGGCCACAAAGATCCACAATCAGCACCATCCTGTTTCAGGGTTTCTCACACGCGGGCCCCTCCGTCGCGTCTCAGATTTCTTAGCATGCAGCAGCATATAAATTTCACACATAACTAGCGAGCACGTTTTAAAGAGAAAGTTCAGTGGAAAGTTTCTCAGCTGCAGTCTGTTCCTGTATTCATCACACTGTTGTCTGAAAACGCTTGTTTTATTTAAACAGCACAGAGTGCAAAGACACTGATCACAAATTCTAGTACATCATGTTTTACCCGATTTATCAGGGTTACTGGTAAAAAATTGCATCATAATTATCATTTTTGAAATCTTAAAAAGAAAACACACAAAAAAGAAAAAAAATACATCTTATTAATACTGGCTAATTAGGATTCAGTTACACACGAATACTTGTTGGTTTTGGGGACGAGGCTCTGAAGGCGAAGAATCTTATCACAGGGAGGTTTTTGGTATGGTACTGCATACACGCACTGGAGAAAAAAAATGTGACAGGAAGGACCTGCTGAGACTCTGGATTAATCCATAGTGTTGCTGAAACAGTAACTAGTGTGTTTCTGTCTACCCAGATAAAGAGCTTAACGGGTTAAAAGTACCAATTAAATATGCAGGGCCACTTGTAATTGAGGTTGGCTCATGCAGTTTCAACACTTTTTGCAGCTTCTGTTGTTATATCTGTTAACATAGTCATGTTAGGCGTTTACTTCTACTGTTACCCTGAACAGATTTCCAGAGCAGTAGGTTAAACATTTGCGTCTGCATCATAAAATGCGGACTCGACCAAATATGAGGCTCATAAAAGTCACGATCACAGAACAATGTATTTTAATGGAGAAGTTGCAGAGGGGAAAAAAAGGAAATACCAGTGTTAGAAAGAGAGACAGAAGAGCTGATTATGTTTTGACTTGACGAGCAGCCAACTGGAGCTACAGTCTGAGACTAAAGGTTGGCTTCAGTTCTGCTGTACTTGGCATTGTCACGAAGTGTGAAAGCTCAGCTGGCCTCTGAGGCCCTGCATTGTTCTGCCGCACTTTTGGAAAGACAGATGGTGAAATATTAGACGACTGGGCTGATGCCTGCAGCTCACTTGCTCAGATTCCAGTAGTGCAAGCAAACACTTGAGCTTATTGTTAAGGCTTGACCTTAGAAACAAAAATGAAACCCCCCCCCAAAAAGAATTTTAAGTAAATATTACACTCTT